TCTATCTATCTATCTATCTATCTATCTATCTATCTATCTATCTATCTATCTATCTTTTTCTTGCACTGGTCTGTTAACTAAGAGTCGGGATAAGCAACAAAACTGACCACACAAACCTCACAGAGTAAGCCCAGTCTTCAAACGGATCAATTTGTTCAATAATGCGTTAAATTCAAACGAAAGCATCCTTAAAACTTTAAAAGAGAAAAGTGTTCTTTCATGGTCCTTTACGGATCTTCTTAGACGAATTGTAAGTCTTCCCCTCAGGTTTGTCACGTACAAAATAGATGAGACAGAGGTGGCCCTCGATGTGAAATCGATTAAAAAAGCAATTACCTTATTATAATTATATGGCTCATTTCCCGGCAAAGAGACTTATATCATGGGAATCACAACGATCAATTATACAATATTTTTATAAAGTTCGCTTTCAAATTGAGACAAACACTTAGAGCTGCCATGAAGCAAAATAAAGAAGAAAAAAGACTATATCATAAGCGTACATATATTGCCAAAGAGAGTACACTCACGTCTCGTGTACAATCTTTGTTACTACTCACTTGGCATATGCCTTCTCTACAAGCGACACCCAGTACTCATTGGGGTCGGAGGAGCGAGCAAAGAGTAGACTGCCGTCCACAGTTGGCAGGAGATCGTCCACTGTGACGTCTACCCAAGTGCCGAACTGCCAGAACCGACAATGGAAGCTGCCGTGATAGCCCTGAGTGCCAAAACTGTTGTCCTCGGGAATTATCTGAAAACAAGACGCCCCAAAATCAATATGCAAAGAACTACGATGTTGACTTTGCTAATGAGTTTCGGGGAGTGTCGCATTTGGCTAAAGCTTACCTAAAGGCGACCCGAATTCGTCTTGCTGATGCATTTGATTATAATATATTCGTGTTGTATTTTATTGTCTGACGAAAACCGGCGTCTGTGGGGGTAATTTTCAGGCGCTTCGCCGTCGCACGAAGGAGACCCGATGTCGATTCCCGTGTGGGGAACATTTTTAATCGAGTATCTCGATCTTTCTGGTGGGGTGTTGTGTCTCTCTTAGGCAAGGCTGGCACTGACAGACAGGGTCGAAGCCTGCATCCTAAATGGTCAAAATTATGTCACTTGGGGCAAAAGACTCCTGCATGTTTGACGAAAGTTGTCAGAAGTATAACATTGAAGCGAAGCAAACAAGATTATACACGATTTGTGATCTGTAAGGACACTTCACAATAAACTCCAATAGTCCCAAACTTCGTTTTTAACGTTTGCCTATAGTATTAAAGTGAGCAATTCCCAGTAATCGTGAGATTGCGGGTTCGGTGTTTCGAGTTTCAGCTCGGTTTCATGTTGTGTCTTTGGTGGTTGGCGGGTGCTCTGGTGTGGTTTGCTCCTTCTTTCCTATCAAAAATCTATCGTCCTTATCTCCCCTTCTTCTTTTTTATGTTTGTTACTCTCTTGTAACACCTCTAATCTTCTGGCGCTTATATGATCTTATGCAGTTGCGAGCGCCGTAAAACCTCTACTAAAACTAAAAAATGAAATTCTCACTTGGCTCGTTTCTTTTGGAGATAGACGTTAGACTTTTAAATAACCTAACAGTGTTATAACCTATACCATTTCACCATTATTTTTCAAATCCCATTCCATTTCCTCTTAAGTTTCTAGTCACTACTCTTCTCTATTCATGTATCAATAGACACAAACCATCCCCTTAAAACACGTAACACAAAAAAGCCAAGGCATTCCTTCCTTTTAGAAAAGTCTTGAAAGTCAACAATTTTACTGTCACTATAGATCCCTATAATGTTGTAAAATGCGACAAAGTCACGGACAAACTTTTCTATATTTCATTGGTAGGTCTTCCTTCAACGTTATTCTTACGTGTGGTCATAACC